GCTTGTTTCTAGCTCCCTCTCTGCACAGCTTTACCAGGAAGGTCTGGCCCCCGGGTCCGTGGGAGGGCAGCGGGCGTGGGCTGCGTGCCTTTGGCTGGCCGAGCACGGTTCCCATCAGAGTCAATTATGAGGCGTAGGGCTCCCGATGGGAGGCAGGAAACCGGCCCCGGCACCCCACGTGGGGACGTATGAAGTGTGGGCGGTGAGATCTATGTGCGGGGCTGTCCACACATGGCTGTGCGGTTATAAATACGCAGGGCCCTGCTGGGGGACCGCGGTGGGTACCCAAATAGCTCTGCCGGCAGCTATATATGCGATGCAAACACACCCACACACGGCTGAGCGCAAGGCCCGGGCTGGGCCGCACCAGCAGCTCCTTGGGTGATCTCGGGCCCGCGTGGCACAGGGCAGCCAGGGGCCGGGTCTCAGGGACCTCTTACCTGGGGCGGTTAAATCAGTCCAGTACGCGCAGGCGCGGTAAAGAGCTTGGGCCCTACCCCACTGAGGCTGATTCTACCCCAGACGTCCCCTTCCCCCGACTGGATGCCATCATGGCCTGGTCCGGAGCGTATGTTTCAGGGGTGTTCAGCGCTACTCTGGTGAACGTTTAACAACTGATCTGAGCGAGGAGGCCAGGGGAGCTGGTGGGTATCCCGTGACAATCCCTGAGGTGTAAATATCCTCATCGTGGTCAAATCCAAGCTGCCTATGTGAGGCCACCGAATGCAGAATCGGGAAGGGAGACGTGGTAGCGATACGCGATCACGTAGCCTTGCACCAGACCCGGATCATCTCGGGAACAAGGATAATAGTGAGTCAGACAGCGGAACCACTGAGCCAATAATGAAATGTCATAAAACGACGAGGAAGTGATGAGCTTTTAAAATTTTTATTTATTTTTTGGACACCATGGATGGAACTCGGGGCCTTGTACTTGTGAGGTAGGTGGCGGCACCACTGAGCTAAATCCCTGGTCCCTGTGATGCGCTTTTAAGTACTTTGTTTTAGTATTTCTTTATTTTTAAACCAAGGTTTTACGTTTACTAAAGGTAGGAAAAGGAGGACTGAGTATTCTGCTTTAAATGCAATTTATTTAATTGTAGTTTTACATAATCTAATTTAAGAAGAATGATCATAATCAACAGTGGGCTTGAAAACTCTTGGATATTAAATAATCAGCTTCTGCAGGTTGGTATCAGCCAGACCCACGTTAACATTGCTCATGAAAGCTGCTGTTAACCCACCTTCCCTGTACACAGGGCTTTTTTTTTTCATTCCTAGGTGAAGACCCTAAAATACAAACCTGATCATGCCTTTATTGAATTAAAAACGTGTGAATTCTGCAGCTTGGAAAATAAGGCCCTTCTTCATCTAAGCTCAGATGATCGCTCTTGTCTCAGGCCAGCTCCCACCAGGCCTCTCCCTATTTCCCAACTAGCCCGTGCCTACATGTGCTTTTCAGCCTCAGCTGAGGCTCTTACGCTGCAGAGTCATTTTTGCTTCATCACTGACCCATTCCTCTGCCTTCCCCTGCTGATGCCAGTTCATCCTTTAACACAGCCGCTGGCCCACACTGCTCGATTCTCTATGATTCTTGAGCCCAGAAAAGCTTTCACACTTTGAAATGGTTGAGGGATATCAGAAGAATGATATTTCAAGACACATAAAAATTATATGGACTTCAAACTGCAGTGTCCTCAAATAATGTTGTTTGTTTCGTTTTTGTTTTTTGAGACAGGGTCTCACTATGTAGTTCAGACTGCTCTCGCAGAGATCCTCCTGCCTCAGCCTCCCGAGTGCTGGGATTACAGTTGTGTGCCACCATGGCTCCCTCAAATAATGTTCTAATGGAGAACAGCCACACCTGTTCATGTACCTGTTGTCTATGGTGGTCTTTGGGCTACCATGGCAGAGTTGAGTAGTTGCAACAGAGGCCTACACAGCCTGCTAACTTCCCAATATTTACCATCTGGTTCTTCACAGAAAAGATTCAAAGCTTACTAAAAAATTATCTCCACTTTGAAGACCCCTCTATTTCTCTGGCGAAGTCAGCCATGTCCCGCTCTGCATCTGTCCCACTTCCTCCCACTAGAGTTATCATCACCAGTGATTATTAACCCAAGACACCTCTAGCACGGTTTGTGAACCTTAGTTAACTCAATACCCTCTGCGTTCTAATATCAAACCGAGCACATGGCACTGCTCGCCCAACACTATGCTGAAAAAAAAAAAAAAAAGAGCAATGACTGCTGTTTCCATTCCTTTCACCCACAATAGAATGGAACATCTTCTATAGTCTGCTCTACAATTTTTTTTTTTTTTGAGACAAGGTCTCACTATGTAGTTGAGACTGACCTGGAACTCACTATGTAACCCAGGCTGGTCTCGAACTCACAGTGATCCTCCTGCCTCAGCCTCCCAAGTGCTGGAATTATAGGCATGCGCCACCACGCCCGGCTACAATTTTATTAAGATAGAAGGTCTGCTGAGTATGAAACGATTTGTCAAAAACCACGAGATAGCTGCAGTAGCAGTCTGCCCCAGAACCCACCCACCTCCACCAAAGCACCGAAAAGTGTACAACAGAAGGAGACTTCACTTCTTGTGAACCCTCGACTCCGAGCCCTGGCTTAGCCCCACGTGGGCAAAGCTCTCTCCTGGTTCCATATCGTTGTTCCTCTTGGCTCTCCTCATTGAATGCCTTCCCTGCTTTTCTCTGGTGTCCTATGCCTCCTTCGGAATCTAGTTCAAAAGATTCCTGCTTCCCTGCTTGTCCCTACCCAATTTTGACTGCTTTCTTTGGGTGAACCTACTCAAGCAACTTAAAGCGATATGAAACTATGCATTTGTGGCGATGGTTCTTTAGGCATTTCCTGTGCAAACATTTTTCCCTTCCCTCTCCAGTGTGATAGATCTGTGCTTTCACTGACCGAGTCAACCAAAACACACACGTGTCATGCATTGAGCTGGGAACTAGGAACAGAAAGATGAAAAAGTTATAATCACGCCTTTAGGGAGCTCATGCTCTTGGAGGGTGGGTTTTGAACAGGGACCTATGGGGTCCCACAGGGACTGTGCTAAGCCTGAGGTCTCCTGGGGGTGGAGGGCGGTGAGGCCTGGGGTGGGGGGATAGGTGCACAGCTATCCCCTGCCCTTGTTCCCATCTCTTTTTTAAAAAACATTACGTTTATTGGTACATGTTAGGTATACAGTACAGTTGCATCCATCATTGGGTTCTTGTACCTTTGCATGACTTATCTTGGCTCTTATTTTTCCCTATTCCCAGCTGTCCCTTCACCTCTCCGCCCTTCCATGTTTACAAAGACATTGTTTCCATGTTTTTCCTCTTCACATATTTTTTCTTTTCCCTTTTTTACCTTTCCCTTACTCCTCCCACCTCTTCTACTCTTTTAGACATTTTCTTCCTATTACACAATGTAAATTATACATTTTGATCCTAATTTACACTTTTATTTTTCACACCAGAGAAACTGTTTGGTATTTACATGTGTGTCTTATTAATTTCACTTAAGAGTACGGCCTCAGTGGGCATCCACTTAGCTATAAATATCTCTAGTTTCTCATTCTTTATGACTGAGTAGTACTCCATGTTTATCTATATCTATTTCTATATCTATATCTATATCTATATCTATAATCTTTATCCAGTCTTCAGTTGATGGGAAATTGGGCTGTTTCCAAGTCTTAACTATTACAAACTGTGCTGCTATAAACATGGTTGAGCATATATTGCTGTGGCATGATGCTTTTAATTCTTTTGGGAGGATACCCAGCAGAGGGATTGCTGGGTCAGATGGGACTTGTGATCCTAGTTGTCTAAAGTAACTGAATTGATTTCCATTTCTTGCTTCCACCAAGGTGCTACCATTGTTACCTGTTTTACCTTTAGGCAGAAAGGCTTCTACCACCGGAACACGTCTGGAAATAATTAAGTTGGCTGTAAAGTCTCCCATGGCAGAAAAGCTGTCTTAACCTCGCTTTCCAAGGAGTATAGCATAGACAGTAACAGCTCACGGTCTTCACCAACAGCAGACACTAAGTTCATGCACCTTGTTAGATTCCTCTGGGCGCAAAAAATCACCAAGATTAAGTTCACTGGTTTATTATGGCCTTCCGTGGGCTGGGATGCCCAGCTGTCCCTCCACCCCTGCCCTACATTTTGGGAATGGCCTCCTCTTCCCACTCACATGGAGGTTGTGGTGGCTGCCATGTTACTGCAGTGTAGCCACGCCCCTGCTCACAGTTGATCGGCCTAGGGAAGGACAATTGATATAAGCTGGGGCCATTGGTTTTTCTTCCTTGGAATTTATTTTGGAAATTAAACTGTATGGGTAATCTCCAGAAGCTCAAGCTGTTAAATATAAACCTTGATAGTTGCCAACTTCTATGGCTCTCACCATGTAGATTTTCTCCACGGATTCTATAAACCAAATCGCGTCCCTTCTCATTTGGGCTAGTTTAAATGGGCTTTATGACCATAATACCAAGATATTTTAAGATGTCCTATCCTATCCTCTCCTATCCGGAAACAGATGTACATATCAATCATTCATTCAATCCACAGTTAGTAACTTAGCATCTCCCACGGGACAAATGCTGATTTTTGGCCTTGGAAACACAGTGAACACAATGCACAGGGATCTTAAGTTCTAATTGTCATCAACAGATACCAGAGAGAAAAACGTGCTATGTCAGAGGGTCAGAGATGCTGTGACATAAAGAGAGAAGTGGAGAGGAGTCGGGGGAGGGTTGAGGAGAGATGATGACAAGGCCTCTCTTACGCTTCATGAGAATAAATTAGCCAAGGAGCAAGTGGACAAGAAAGGAGGGGAAGAGCTGGGCAGGTGGAGGAAGCAGCGAGAGCAAAGGCCCCGAAGTGGCAACGTGGGTAGGTTTGTGTTGTCGCCAAGAGCCCAGGGAACCAATGAGGGAATGCAGGAGGTAGGAGCTGAGGTCACAGAGGCTATGGGGTCCCACCCGGGAGGAGGATGTACAGAGCTGGCCAGGCCCCATTCAGTAGGAGAGGTGACTGGATCCCATCTGGTAGAACCCCGTGGAGAGGCACCTGGGTACCGTCCTGTAGGACCTTGTAGAGAGATGACTGGGCCCATCTCATAGCCTCCTGTAGAGAAGCGAGTGGTTCATCTGCAGGACCTTGCAGCAAGGTGACAGCCCTGTCCTGAGACTCCTGTAGAGAGGTGAGCAGGTGCTTTCCTTTAGCACCTTGGAGAGAGGTGCCTGGGTCTGCCGCTGTGGCTCCCGGCTGGAGCTCAGACACCTTCCATCCCATGCTCAGGACTCGGGATTTTACTCTGAGAAACAGCTGAAGAGCAATGCGGTCTGTGGTGTGTTTAACAGCATCCCTCCGTGTGCAGAGGTGATCGTGTGGGAGAGGAAGCCAGAAGACAAGCAGGGAGCAAGGTTAGGAGTCATTTGCAAAAAACATGGCAAGGGTGGTGACTTGGGCCAGGGAGTAGCTGTAGAGGGTGTTGGAAAGGTTGACTCTGGAATCACTTTGTGGACAGAGCCAGTTGGGTTCTGACTGCATAGTGATCATGAAAAGGCAAGGCAAGATGGCACGGAAGTACTGTCATTCTTGGTGTCTGAGAAAGAATGGTTTCATGTATCCAAGCCTGCTGTGGACACCAAAACCCATAGATGCGCAAGTCACTTATGTAAGATTGTGAAGTGTTTAATATAATCTACACACATCCTCCTAAAACTGTAAATCATCTCTAGATTACTTTTAATACCCAATACAAGGTAAATGCTGTTATATACTGTTGTTCAGGGAACAGTGACAAGGAAAAAAAATCTGTACATTTTTAGTACAGACACATTTTTTACAAAACATTTTTCATCCATAGTTTGTTGAATCCTTAGATGCTAAACCTGCAAGCATGTGAGCAGCATGTGGTAAACGCCCAGGGGCGATGAAATCTGATCTGAAGATTGAGGCAGGCTTGGCGGGGGGCACCTCTGAGCAGAACCCCGGGGGATGAAGGAAATGACAGAAGATGGCAACGCGGGGAAACGTGTGTGGGAATAAGAGGGTTACAGCAGCTGAGGGCAGAAGTGAGCACGATCGCCTTGTGTGGGTGGGGAATGGACTCAGAGACAGGCGAGTGGAGGGAGGAACAGCAGGTGGGCTTGGATCATGGAGGGCTTTGCCGAGTGGGGCCCCAGGGAATGAACTCCTGGATGCTACCTCCTCTCTCGTGACCTGAAAATATGTGCGCAGGCAGGGGCTCCGCAGGGTAGGGCTAGGAACTGGGTGGAGCTGGCCCATGGGCCACTGAGTGCGGGCCCCCAAAAGACAGACTCTTCGGGGTATCAGGTAGCTGTGCTGGAATGGGCAAGGCTGAGGGTAGAGATACGATGGTGCCTTAGTGATACATGAGTGTGCCCGGCTGGCAGCTCTGGCTTTGAGGAGCCAGCGGTTCGTAGACTGATTGCAGCTTTAGGGCTCTTTAGTCCCCAAGAAGCCATAAGCAGCCAGGGCTCCAGACTCTGCGGATGGCTAATTTTTCTTGTTATCTCTGATCATCGCCAATGGAGGGCGACAGAGCTTCATGCTGGGTGTGCTCCTGCCTGCTAAGTAAGCAAAGCACAGAGTACTCAGGGCTGTGCAGGAAACAGCCTCAGAGCATGGCTGGAGTCTGGCCATGGAATGCAAGACACACAGGACCCACTGTTCTAGCCCCAGTCTCAAGAGGCTGGAGCCCCAGGGAATGAACGCCTGGATGTTACCTCCTCACTAACAGCCCAGAAGCACCTGCGCAGGCCGAGTCTGTGGAGGTTAGGACCGGGAACTCAGATGGAGCTGCTCCATGGGCCGCAAAGTGCGGCCCCAAAAGACATTGCTCAGCAGCGAAGCCAGAACCGACGGCTACAGGGAGTGGAAAGATGCACCATCGTTATGAAGGGCTAAGCAGAGGGGCCGCATGTGAGAAGGAGTCAAAGACTACAGTGTATCGACGGCTACAGGGAGTGGAAAGATGCACCATCGTTATGAAGGGCTAAGCAGAGGGGCCGCATGGGAGAAGATGAGCCACAGGTTGGAAAGGGTGAGAAGGAGTCAAAGACTACAGTGTTTCCTGAGGTGTCACAATCAGGTATGTGTCAGCTGTCCGTCACTGTGACAAGATATCTGAGGTAAACAGCTTGGAAAGGATACGGATTTATTTTGGCTTCTGGTGTCGGAGATTTTAGTCCATGGTCATTTGGCCTTATTGCCCTTGGGCCTGTGATTAAGCAGAACATCACCGTAGGGTTTGTGGTGGAGCATATCTGCCCACTTCCTGGTGACTGGAAAAGAAAGGGAGAGGGAATAGGGGGTGAGGGGGAGAGACCAGGGTTCCAGTATGCCCTTTAAGGGCACACCCCAATGTCTTAACTTCCTCCTAAAGTTTCCACGACCTCGCAATAGTGCTGTCAGCTAACCAAGGCAAGAGCCTTTGGAGGGCATTCCAGATACAAAATGTTACATTCTGTACCTGGCCCCAAAGGCTCCTGTCTATTGCAGAGCGGAACATCTATTCAGTCCATCTCCAAGAATCTCTAAAGTCTTAACATTTCCAACATTGTTGAAAAATTCAAGTCTAAAGTTTCCTCTTAGACGCAAGGCAAACTCCTAGCAGTGAGCCTCTGTAAAAATAAAAAAAAAGAAAGTTACATACTTCTAGGCTACAAAGGCACAGGGTAAACATTTCCATTCCAAAAGGGGTGAATAGGGAGATAGAAAAGAATCAGACTAAAGCAAGATTAAAATCCACAACCATGTGTCATTTCACTCAGGGCCAACAGTAAATCCTATATCTCTATGTCTGACATCCAGGACGTTTGGTGGCAAGAGGTGAGCTCCAAAGGCCCTGGGTGATCCCACTCCTATGGCCTTGCTGGTTGCAGCCTACATGACCTCTCTCTTGGGCTGGCTTTGCTCACTGCCTGTATCTTTCCTTGGCAGATATTTTATAACTTCCTGGGGTCTCCATTGCAACTCTCACAGCTTCACACATTGCTCCCAGGGAATCCTGGCAGGGACTCTGATGCTATCATTTTATTAACTGGCCTCCAGGCTTTCCTTTAAAGTCTGGGTGGAAGGTTCCATGACCTCATAACCCCTGAATTCTGCATGCCTGCAAAATCAGCATTATGTGGATGATGCTAAGGTCTACCACCAACATACATAGTGGCTAGGCCTTCTTGAACCATAGTTAAAGGGCTTTCTGAGTGCCTGGACAGCTAAACACAGAGTAGTAAATCTTAAGGAAATGATTTCCCAGGGGAGCTGCTTCTGCGCTCTCTTCTCAGAGGAAGGTCTCGAAACTAGTTGATACTTTTACACCGGTGGGTTTCAGTTTTAATTTGGTTCCATACCTCCTTTCTCTGCCCACTTTCCCTCCTTTAGGAGTGGAATGTTTAACTTGTGGCACTGTATCCTGAGAGTATATAATTTTCTAATTTTTACAGAGGAGGCTCACAGCGAAGAGTTTGCCTTGAGTCTCAGAGGAGACTTTGGAGTTGGACTTTAGAGCAATGGAAGATCATGGCAGGTGTGCCCTGGAAAGGATTTTGGGATCCTGCCCCTTCCTTGCAGTCCTTATCCTTCCTGACTACCATGAAGTGAGAACTCCTGTCTACTCTGTGCTCCCCACCATGAGGTACTGCCTCACCACAGGACCAAAGGCAACATGGCCGAGAAAGCATGAACTGAAACCTTTGAAAGTGTGAACCAAAGGAAATGATTCATCATTTTAAGCTCTTTAGCTCAGGTGTTTCGCCATAGATGGAAAGCTGGCTGACACAGAGGTGGTAGAGATTTTAAAATAGTGTTGGCCAGTTTAGGTCCTTGCCTCCATCCACCTCTTCATTCTTTAAACCCTTTGTTCATTCAACGGCATTGCTGATGTGCATGGAAATGTGTTGAGAGCAGTGGCAGTATATATCAAGTTAAAAGGACCAGTCACTCTCATGGTTTCCATTTCCCAAATATAGGTGCTCTAGGTCTCAAGAATGTCCATAATGGAAGCACATCACATCTTGTACTAATACCTTATAACTTGCTGTTTCTTGTACACATCTTAACGATAAAACTGATTGTGTTTAAAAAATATCCACATACGCGTGACACTAGGTATGGTACATGCATTAGCTCATTAATGCTCATGACCACCCTACGAGAGAACCAAGAGCTGGAAAATTTAAGGAATTTGATGAAATTACCTGTCTTGTTGGTTGGAGATGGAGTTGGGACAGGAATCAGATACAATTCTGGAGTCAAGGCTCATGTTACTCTGTCTCTCTGCCTCTGTACCCATAGGCCCCTGGAGGCATTTTTTCAGACTCCACAGGGCATAGACTGATTTCTGCAAAGTAGGATCTTGTATTTCCAGCGCTGAGAGTCTGGAGTCAGGTCTGTGGGGGCAAAGCAAACCTGCTTGCTCATTGACAGAAGGAACTCTTATTTATATCCAATTTGCATGTTGTGTATTCACGTAAACTACTAATAATTTTGTAGGTACTTACTAAAGATTAGCAACTAAATCACAGCATTGCTCTGAGGATTTGAGTGATCTGAGAAAACAAAACACCTCGATCTGGTGCATGGTGTGTAATGAGTGCTCCATAAATATGAGTGCGGGCACTGCCCAAGAATCCTTAGAGACCCGTAGGGAAAGATTACCATGACTGCACCTTTGCACACCTGATGGTGCAGCCCCTCCCTATCAGGGTTGATGAAACACCCAGAGAAACAGGCCCTTGTGATGGTTTTCAGGCATCTCAGCAACCATGAGCTTCAGCAGGCTGCAGTGTCAGAAGGAGACAGAGAAGCCGGGCCTGCTGGGCACAGGGTGACTCAACGCATGGACGGCACAGACTTATTGCAAGGAGCTTTCCCCTGACTTCCCACCCTCCTCCGAGCACACCTGGAACCACAGCCAGCTTTCTTCTTCCAGGAGCGAGCATCTGCTTCATGGATTTCTTGTGATCCCTCCTCTGCTGGTCCCGAGCTGAGCTCCTGCATAGTAGGGACCATGTGTCAGCATCTCTGGATCCACGAAGCTGGTGGCTCCAGTGAGTCCGCCTTGGGGAATAAGAGGGAGTTGCCCTGGCACTACAGTAAGAGCCATGTGGCTCATGTGCACGTGACGACCAATGTGAGGTCAAGCCGGTGGCAGTTAATCAGATCTAATGTTTGGGATGCTCCTTGGGCAGAGCGAAAGGAGTGAGTTCACCAAAGGCGCTCAAGAAGAGAGAGGTGGCGGCAAGGGCACAGAGATCCAACCGAGACCCCAAGACCATTCGCTTGAAATTGCTTGTTTACATTTAGAGCTTTTTGAGGTCAGGGAACATTGCCAACTTGTCTGTGTCCTAGCATCTTGGTACAAGGCCAGGCAGAGATGGGCAGGTTCACACATACCTATGGCCTGGAAAACAGCACATGTGAATCTCAACTTTCAAGCCAGCAGAAACCCCCTTTTTTTTTTCCTCCCCAAATTCTTGCTTCCAGCTCCACCAGACAGGCCTCTTCTTTCTGAGCTACCCTGATCACTTTGTCACTACTCTCGCTCTCTTTCCCGCATTTCCCCTGAACCCCTAAAGGAGATACAGGGCATAGGATTCCGAAGAAAGAGTCACTTACCCAGATCTGATCAAGACACAAGTGAGAGGCAATGATTTGTGAAGAAATCCTGGTCCTGTCTAATGGAATTTTCCCAAAATAAATCCATGTAAACAACTTCCCACAAAGAGGCAGTCAGGGGAGCTGGGTGTGTAAACAGCGTGCATAGTCGCAAGTACTATGGGCTCCAGGGGTGCCGTGTCGTCTGGAGGGGGGCTGTGGGGAGACTCCCTTTAGCAAAACACCTTTGGCTCCAGTCCTTCTGACATCATAATGTCAGCTAATTCATTAACTTAAAAAAGTCCTTATTTTAGTATCATCTCCCAAACATAGCAACACCACTTGGTAGCTAAAGATGGATTTTGCTTAAAATTTTTACTCATTTTAAACCAAAGCAACTCAGAGGTGATCTTTATGCCTAAAGAGGTGGGATCAGGGTGCAGAGGATGGGGAAGGAAGAGCAGCTGGAGTGAAGGCCTTGGAGAAACAGAAAATGATGTCTTTTGGTGCTCCGGGTGGATACGAGGAAGCCCATACGGTTCCTAGAATTAGGATGGAAATCTGTTCTCCTTAAGACGTTCAGAAGGACATTGATTTCTTGTGGCCTGTGTGTCTCTGGCCAACTCCCAGCGGAGGACAGTGGAGAGCTGGATTCTATACAGATGAGCAGACCAAACTTCCGGAGGGAAATGTTTGCAGGGAATCTCCCTGGAGCACGCCTTTCCCTCAGACATTTTTCTCAACCAAGTCTGCCTTGCTCAAACCCGAGTTGTTTTCAGAATCTGGGTTTGCTGACGTTTCCTCCCTCCCTTACCAGAGCCTGGAGACAGAAGTCTTGTACTCAAGTTTGGCTGGGCCACTGTGAGACTTTAGCAAATCGCCTAAGTTTTCTGAGCCTCAGTTTCCTCCTCTCTACAGAGGGAACCTGGAAAACAATTCCAGCTCTGTGTGCTTCACACAGCTCTGAATGTCAAGTAAGGAGGCCCTTGTAAAGTTGAGGAGTTTTATTTATTATCACGCATTTGGTGCTGAGTTTTGCTTATCTTTGAGCAAATGGGTTTTGATCAGAACTATGTAGGAGTCAGGACCAGGGAAGCAGAAGGAGTTGAGAGGAGGGTGCCTGGAGAGAGTAGGAGGAGCCAAGATACCACGGGGAGGTAGGAAGGTGCAGAGGGAAGGGGAGGCCCCAGAAATCTATTGGCTCACGCGTCCCATGAAGGCCTCGGAACTGCTCTCTGCCAATCTATTTAACTAAGCTCCGAGTCTAGCTGTAGAGACGGTGTAGAGTCTGACTGTACCTGAAAGGCTCCAGG